TCCAAACTGTTCAAAATATATCCAAAAATTTTTTCAAGCCAATCGGATAGATGCATTTTAAATGGTAGCATCTCAAAAAGTGGACAGGGTCAAATTGACCCAGATTGTTCTTCTTGATTGAAAAAATAGGTGTGTTCCCCGAGGGTTAAAGCAGCGCGATTGTAGAACGTATCGTGCTATGGAAACAATCCCGTGTAGCTTGTGCGCAAATGTCATTCTTTATTATACTTTATGATTTTCCCATTCAAAGCAGATTCGCAAATAAAAAAATTGTCAATCTCGCTTTAACAATATCGCGCGATATTTCGCGATGTGTTTTATCCGTAGAATAAATGAAAGTTCCGTTCTATTTATTTAATGTGCGGGCGTAACATGATCTCGTTTTATTGCGTTCGATATGATACGGCACGGAAAGTACGTCGGCTCGGAGTCTCTTCTTGATGGAGAGAAAAAACAGCGGCCGTTAAGGTCAAGAAAGAAGAGATGAGTCTTAAAACGATTTCGCGCCGGAACAACTCTCATTCAACGGGGCTCACGCACGCTGTGGAATTAGAACACGTACCGTACATCATCCACGCGAGGGCGACCCTTTAACTGGACCCGACGGCGACCATTGTTTATCTTCTCCAGAGTTCGCCACCCATAAATAGGCGTGTACGCGACCTCTTTGGCTCGCTCTCGGCCGGGAATGGGCCGACACATAGGTGCCACACGGAGACCGCAGAGAAAATGCCCGCGCGCAACCCCCCGATCCCCATTTTCATCCGCCCACGTAAAGAGCCGCACGAAAGACTAGGCTACGAGAGTAGTGCGAGACCCTCCGGGCGCGCACTTCGTATTTCATTCGTGTTGGAACGATACGGCCTGTGTGCGCGGACTTTTCGCGAAAGCGAAGGCGGGAGAGAAGGGGAGAGTGAAATAGGGCCGTTAGGAGAGAATCAGGAGAATCTTGGAAACGAGAACGCGCGCGTACATAGCGAAGGGTGGGAATGAAAGCCGATGGAGCCGAGAAGCCGACACCTCGTTCGTTACGTTAGCGCTCGATGAGGATTTGTTTCATCGGGATGTATATACAAGGAGAGAACGCGTGAGATTTTCATCCCCAACGAGCGTCGGGAGGGCGGTAAATGTCATCTCGAAACGTCCAAAAGAAGTTTGCGCTTGTTTGTGATCTAGAATCGCGCTATCCTCGATGGAACACGAGCTATCCCGCACGACGAGGAAAGAGTCGCGCGACGTTTACAAGTGCCATCCATTTGCAACCAAGTTACATTGAGACTTAGGTTTAACAAAACTTGGATTTAATGCGAAAATTCTACTAAAAGATTATCTCAATTACTTTTTTCTGTTATTACCTTCTGGAGATCACGGCAACTTTTCAACGAGTTGATACAAGCTGTTTACTTCTAATCTTTGTATATTGAATGTTCATTGTTCAAAGAAACAGACGATAATAATGAATTTTTTTTCGATTTATAGTTTTTATATTGCGAGTATAATAAATTTGAATTGGAAACTTTTGTGACAGAGATTGTTACAAATATAACAATCGCGAAAAAAAAAGTGATTGAGATCTCAATAAGATGAATAGTAAGTCGAGCTTGAAAGCTAAAAAATATCATCTTCATATTACGGCTATAACTTGTTGCAATTATTATTTGCCTTCATTTAATATTCAGCTTTCCGAAACAATTGATGATTCATTTCTCATTAGAAATATTGCGGCGAATTTTATTTGTCTTATGAACGATATTGCCGTAATATTATTGTTCGAACGATGAAAATTCTATTTCATTAACGACCGAACATTGCTGCTAATGTAAATTTAATATAAATTTATCTCATGATGCAAATTTTTTTGCGCTACGTAATTTTCTTAATATTAAATGCAATAAATTTCTAATGTAATTCTAATATAAAATTTTATTTCATAACGTAATTGTTTTGCGCTAAGATTGAAACGCCAAAAAATGTTGACGATACTCACCGAAGAAAGCGTTGAAGATGAAGAGTAATTTTTTCTTACGAAACTCGGACAGCGGCATCTTTGAAACCCTGCAAAGTTAAGAAGAGAGAGAAAGGGGCGTTAGAGAGATGTGTGCACAATGTTAATATTCGTTCGCGATCGAGTGACGATCAGGGTCGATTGTCTCGAGCGACCGACCCTTCTTTTATCTCGGGGAATAAAAAGTAATCGCGGCAATCGCTTGTGTGTATATGCGCGCGTGTATCAGGCCACTTTGTACGTACAATCCCGATATTCGCGAGGTCATTATGAAAACACGGGGGCGTTTTAGCGGGATTTGCAATTTTGTTCGAAAAGAAAGTATTTATCTTGTTTCATTTCAGCGGAGAGTTAATTTAAAATAATATTTTTCAATCTAATCCTCTCATCTTATGTTTTTCACTTTTGCATCATATCTCGTTTAATTCCAAACTATATTTATCACTTTATTTGTTATTTTGTTTTTTAAGTAACTGCAATGCAGCAACACGTTCACACATTAATTACACTTATTCCGAATAATCCTACAATTTTCGATCGAGACAATCGGAGACGATCGTTTAACGGCTGAGCTAGCGCAAAAACGATGGTAAAATTTCCACCGCCGTGTAATTAATGAATTACGCGGGTCAACCGGCTCGTTATAAAAAGCAGCGTACAAGTGATATCGCGAGGAACGATTAATAGATCTTAGAGAGCTTTCCCGTGCTCTCTTCTGTCTGAAGCGAACACTGCGGTGCTTCCCAGCGGCATCGGTCTTTATATAATAATCTCTCTTGAGTTCGAGAGAATCTTGGTAGCGATAAGTCGCCGCGCGCAATCCCCCGTTATTCTGTGACGCACGTTTCATCAGAATGATTTTACGAGACACGGCTATATCCCGGTAATTTGAGTTATCTAACAATCGCAGGTACACAAGCGTATAATGAGCGACGCTTTGCGTCGCAGTTTCCTTCTTCTTTTTTTTTTTTTTTATTTTTGGATCGGTCTATATAAAAGTAGTCGATAATTGTCGATTATGTCGCGATAAACGACCCCGATTTCTCCTTTAAAGGAGATGCGTCTCTACGCGCGATCGGAATCTAATAACACGCGCGTTGCCGCTAATTCGGTTAGGACGAGAGCGAAAGAAAGTATTTCGCTTAAAATATCTTTGTTGTTTGCTCGGTAAACTCGTTTGTGTGAGATTGCACGAGATTTAATTAAGACGCTGCTCGAATCAGGAGGGATCAACAATAATTGCGAAAGTGACTGTCAGCGATGTTACTTTAATTGATTTAAGTTCGCGTGCAGATACTCACACATGTACATATTTCTCTTTATAAATTTGTTGCGATTTTTCCGTGACAAATGCGCAATCAAGAAGAATGAATGCGATACGATATGAATTCGCATGTTCAGTCGGAATAATGAACGATTGCTCTTATTTCGTTTCCGTCATGTAACACTAGTGATATTACATTTGACGCTGATAACGTATATATTTTCTGCCTGTTCATTTTTGGTGAACATGAATTTTGCATCTGCGATATATAACACAACGCGATCAATAAGAATGATAAATCACTATTGCAAATTGTATTTGACTTATTTTGAAATGATTTATGTTCTTCTTCAAATGTTGTTTGTGCGCGCATACGTTGTTATGCCGATTCAATTATGTGAAATGATCGTGTCGCGATATTGAGTTTTTCGCATTAATCGGTGCAATTTGCTCGACGTAACCGAATCAGGGAAAAGTTGCAAGTTTGCGTGTTTCACGTTGGATTTTCGCGTGAAAACAATGCGAGTACGTGCGTTCGCGACACAGAGAGAAATTTTATTCGACGGACAAAAACGAGATTTTGTCTCCCGTTTTCAAGTGTAACTTCCTGAATAATTGAATTCTTAAAATCTCGTTTACAGTCGCCGGCGTCTCCGGCAACGCGTTAACACACAAGGAGCTTGCTTTGATAAAAACGATTTCAAACAGTTCTTCCGTCGTCGCTGATAATTAATGCAAATTAAATTCCTACGGTGCATTAAAGTAACAGAGAGGATTGTAAGAGCCGCATTGAGAAAAAAGAGAAGTATGATATATTTAATCAAACTCTTGCCAGAAAAAGAGGAATTACAATTATTCGAGGATTCTCGTGAACGAAGAAAACGAGATTTGTTACTTTAACACGTGCCACGTATGTTCTTAAATCTCAATGTTCGAACGTACTTCGGCAACTGTCGAAGGATTTTCCTAAGCGCTACGCTTTTCCTTCATCGCGTCGAAGCGGGGAGGCGAGTGAGGTGAGGGGAAAAACGAACGGCAAACATAAAGAAAATCCTTCGGCAGCTGCAAATAAATTCGAGTACTGGTCTCAAGTGATCGCGCAACGAATGAAACAATAGTGTCTGATAATCATCAGGATATCATCGCAGAAATAATTATCACCGCGTTGTAAAATCGCTAATTTGCATCAAGGTCGATTTTGACGTCAATTCATGCTCGGAATCGCCGGCGCGTACATTTATCTTGTAATCGCGGGCTCACTCGGTTAACGACACTGACGCAATAGAAATGCCTGCACATAGAAAACATCAATACACTTATATATATATATAATATACATATATTGTTTGCAGATTTTAATATTCTAGTAGTTAATTAAATCAATTCGGCGCGCGAGTTCCGTGTAACAATACGCGCCCCGACAAGTGCAATGAGCGCTCAGTGTGCGTTCATTATCGGATAATTAAAATTCGATAGAAAATTTACGGAATTCACATGCGCGGCCAACCTCACAGCGCAGTTTAATTAAAAGCAATAATAAATCGGCTTAGCTACTTTCGCTGGAATTTTTTGTTTTAATTTTGCAGACATAGATATATATATATTTTATTGTACGTACTCATCGTCTTTGGCTTGCGATTTATCGATCGATGCAGCATATCGACGATACTGCAACAGCTCGTTCGCAACATCCATTATAATCTGTCCGTGAATGATATACTAGCGTGCAAAGATGACGTCACCGTGCAAAGACTATTGTGTCCTGTGTTGAGCACACTATGGCGACGAAAACGCTATCACTGCAGTGCCGTTATCTCTGCGCGTCAACCCTCCTAGTGCCAATCGCGCGGATGCTAGTATAGTAGTTATGTCACACACACACACACACACAATGTATCTAATTACTCGCTTTAAAAATATTGTATTATTTTTCTTAGACATTTATAAATAACGATATATTATTAACTAACACCTACAAAGACGTAGATAATTGAAGATTTTCTTTACAGAGACGAGAGAGAGAGAGAGAGAAAGAGACAAGGAAATGCAAATTTAATAAGAGATTTGTTCATAAAGAAATTCTCTTCTAAGTAAAAACTTTCTTGTTGTAATTGCCCAAAAATTGGAGTGAAATATTTAACACGCGCCGTTTACTGCTGACGAAAGTACTTGAACTTGAAGAATTACACGCTAAAACATAGAGAGTGTTGGGAAGTAAGACTTCCTCCGCTATCGCTGTGCGAAGTTTCCGGAGGAAAGTGTAAAGAAAGTTGCTGGAGCGCTTCTTACGCCGCAGCACTCCACGAAAACTTGGCTGCAGTGGTCATAGCGATGTGTCTGTCGTTTGCACATCTTCAGAAAGGAGGATGATGAAAGACGTGATTTTTTTTCTTTTCGACGGAAATTGCTATTAATCTTTTCAAAAAATCGCCGCATAGAAAATCGATTATCGTTTTTCTCATTTAGTTTTTATTGTGTGGTCTTTTGCAGTGCACGTGATATTTCGAACGCATTTAATTCAAAGCAAATTAATCTATTATATCGGATGCATCAAACTTTGATCCGCAGATTTGAAGACGCGCCTGTCTAAGAATATATTTCTGCGATTGATATTCCGTCCAATTCGCTCAAGGGTGATCGTAAAAACAGATTACTTATTCGCACGGTGTGTTGCGCAAAAGACGCAATTTTCTCTACTTATGATCCTTCGTCGCTTCGTCTCTCATCGTCTCGTTCTTCGAGAGAGAAAAAGAGAGCTTCTGTTTGAGCTCTATAACGAGAAATTGTGCGCCTCTTTTGAAATTTCTCTCGGAATGTTGACGTACTCGCACGGTACTTGAAATCCGATAATATCGCAACGAGCTTTATAACGTTCGCACGCATAAAATTGGCCAATGATTTTCCGAGACGACGTTGACATATTTTAGATCGACGTGTGCGTGTGTGTGTGTGTGTGTGAAATCAACGCTACGTAGAAACACAAGAAGAAGCTTTTTATATTATTCAAATAATTCGGAAAAATATTGAAATTATATACATATATATATTGTTTTATAAACTAAGTCACTGAATCAATAACAGATAAAACAATAAAATGATATCCGGTTGCAGTTTTTTTTTTTATCGCCAATAAATGTCATGTGATTGATGAGAATTTATATTTGCGATGATACAATAAAACATTTTAAAACAGTGCCGGTAAAAAATAAATATTCGAAAAACAGCAGCGCAAAATCTGTTTAATCTAAATCTGTTATTTTTTTAAATGTCTCTGTTAAATGTTCATCCAACGGAAGCAATTATATTGTTTTTTTTGTTTTTTTTTTGTTTTGTTTTTTTTTGTTTTTGTTTTGTATTCTCTTTTCTGAAGAAGTGCAAAACAGTTCAAGAATTTCTTGATTTTTCATCTGCTTTACATTGTCTCCTGCAAAATAAGAAATAAGGTAAAGATGCCGTCGCGCTGTTTATATCTTAATTACGAATTAAGTACGGAATTCCAAAGTCCCTTTGTTATTATCGTACACCACGTCTCGCCTTATTGCGACGCATTTGAGCGTGACGAGGTCGTTGCATTTATTTCGCTGTGAAATAACGTGATACCCACTCGTAGTTTCTTTTCTCTCCCGTCGTTCTCGGCGAAAGTAATAGACAAACACTCGATCGCGCAACATCTCTCTGCGCGATGTTGTCGTTCGGATTACGAAATAAATGCGAGATATACACGCTGCTGCGTCAGCAGCGAGAACAAATATTTGTGAATGCCACCCCTTGATTTCACACGGATCC